CGCCTATGAGAAAAAGGAGCAGCGCATGAGCCGAACGCAACATATGCGAACCGAACTGAGACAGTCGAACTGAACGGTTTTCATAAATCGTTCCATCCCTAATATATATATAAAAAGTTCAGGGTCAGGATTTTTTAATCCCTGTAGATAATATGCACTTAAAATTAAATAAAGCAATTGTGTTTTCTTATTTTAAATACAAATTGTCTTGTTCTATTGGCAAAATGTCTCTTTTAAGAACAAATTTAGTTATTTTAAGAAAAAGGATTTAGATGTTTTCCAGCCTAAAGATGAGAGCCAAAAAATGAAATGTAACAAATGAATGCTTACCCTCTACATGTTATCTTAATATATTTGATGATTTAGTATGGCTGTGAGAAATACAATATGAACTGCTTGTTGCTATAATATTTTATCAACCAAAATGTAGGAATTTTTTTTTTCTTGTTTTTATTTGTTTCAATTTGCAAATCAAACGTAGGAATTTTTAGATGGATTCTTTTCTTGATCGTATCTTCTAAGCGATTCGGCTAACGTTGCTTCATCTACAGCTGTTTGAGAGGGAGCTGCGGCGGTGGGCGGGGCATGAGAGGGGCATGTCTCTGAGCAGCCACGCCCTGTACGACAACAAGCAGGTGGGAGGAGCAATAAAATACAAACCTTTTGCTCTAGTTTCCAAAAGCACAATAGACCACATAGTCCACTTTTAACACCTGAAGTTTTCCTCTTTGTTAAAGGAAATAAAGAACATACAGTGATGATGTTTTAACGCATCTCTGTTTGCAGGGAAAGTATCTGAGAGCTTCATCAGAGGAGGAGATATTTGCTCATCTCGGTCTGGAGTACGTTCCTCCATCAGAGAGAAATGCCTGAAGCATCGATGCAGACGGCCGAGCTGGAGGCTAAATGTGGAGCGGTTCTGTTTTCAGGGTTCTGACTCCTTTTCTCTGTTTTAGTTTTTATTTTTTTTTGTCTAGGTAGCAAATTCTTCCGTTTAGGTCAGGGTCGATAACCTGCGGCTTTTTAATGCCACCCTTGCGGCTCCCTGGAGCTTTTTTTTTTTTTGAAAAAGTTTTTTTAATAATTTTTCCAAATAATACAGTGTGGTACGAAAGTACATGTGTATTTTTACACTTTAAAACATAAAATACAAAACCCAAGTATGAGAGGTACAGGTTCCAGGCTTTGAGAGTTTGCATCATTAGTGGTACAGGTTTCCAACGTTTAGTGCTCCCTGGAGCTTTTAAAAAAAATGGGAAAAAAATGTATTTTGTTTGTTTGTTTTATTCCAAAAAAAAAAAAAAGCAAATTAAAAACCATCCCCTGGACTTTGTTTCCAAGTTTTGAAGATGTTTCGCTTCCCATCCAGGAAGCTTTTGCAATTCATCCAAATCTTGGAAACAAAGTCCGGTGGATTGTTTTTAATTAGCTTTTTTTTTTTTTTTTTTATGATTATGACCTGGATGATTGACAAACTTCACCAGCGTTTGTTTTAACATGCTGTGCAAACATTCATTCTGTTTTTCAAAGCTGTAAAAAATTGTACAATGAATAAATTTATACAATTAAATTTAAAAATTTCTGTATTTGAAGATTTTCCTCATAGCCTTCAGCTCACATTACGGTGCCAGGCAGGTGGCTGTTGTAAACAAAGCAGCAGCATGTGTCTCAGACATGGATCCCAAAGGGAAAAAATGAATATATCTGATGAGAACAGAGGATTCAAAGAAGAATTGAGCGAATCCTTTGCTTTCATTATCAATGTGGAAGAATTGCCTGCATGTTTGCTTTGCAATGAGAGGTTGTCAAATAATAAAAAGAGTAATTTGGAAAGGCATTTCCAGGGAAGGCTGCTAAATATTCAGTTGGGAGGGAGAGAAAAGTGCGATTGCAGAACTTCTGGATAAATTAGAGGAGAGCAAAGATAGATTAATGAAGTGGATTTAATCTCCAAACTGCACTACTGCTGCTAGTTTGGTTTCAAGCATAGAAAACAGTTCACAGATCAAACAGGTAGCGCTCTGATGCTCCAGGATAAACATTTAATCATGAATTCTTATTATATATATTTAAACCCATGTAGTCCTTTTTCTATAGTGGACTAAAGTGAGCCCGTGTTTCCATACCAGGCTTATTGAAGACAGTTCAATTAAAAACTAAAAACCCTCTGATCAATAAAGAGCAGATAAACGAGTCTGAGGGGTAAATAGCGAAAAGACATGAACATTTTTGACAGTTATCTTCTGGAGGAATCCAGTGACGCTGAAATAGTGCAGAATAAGAAGCAGGTTTGATTCAGGGAAATGAAGGTTTCTGTGGTTTCAGTGTGTGAGTTTCCTACAGCTCACTTCACCGCTGCACATGTTGACAGTGGGAGGTTTTTATGTGTTAAAACTGTCGTTAAGTGACTCTGCCCACAAACACACCTGTGTCAAAGTTGCATCTTTTCAGGATCGTCTTCATCGAACAAACTCAACATTTCCCTCTTTCTAGTTCTGTAACCACCTATAGAATAAAGGAGCCCTATGGGCAGCTTCTGATTCTGCAGCTGATCATAGCGATCATGCACCAGATTAGAGATTAGATTAGTCTTCCAGCTTTTTACCAAACTGTATTTGACACATGAGCTTTGTAATATGGGTGTAGTTCAAGCTTTTATAGACTGTTGTGATGTAAATTTAGTTCCTTTATTGTTGCAAACAAAGAACAAGTTGTGGAACTTTGAAAAACAAAATGTTACCCAGAATGAATCTTAGAAAATAGTTTTTACCGCTTGATGCCTGTTGTGCCAAATGTGAAAACAATTACCGGTATTAAATCATGCAAATCAACTACTAAAGTGCGCCTTTCATGCTCCTCTTAGTTTAAAAAAATATATATTTTCCTGTTGGTGGCTACAGGAAAATATATTTTGTTTCTTGAAAGCACCTCTGACTTCGTTGACTGAAGAAAAAGAAAAAAAAACTTTTTCAAGCAAAAATTTTCTAAGTAAAATTAAAGATGTTAGTTACGGATCAGAGTATAATATCAATATTGCGTTAAAAAAAGCATAGGCAGTTCTAGATGGGGGCCAACAGGGGCCAGTGCCCCTTTAGAACTGGTCCTGACCCCTGCCATGATGGCCCCTGTACTAAAAACAATGCAATATTTTAAAAATAATACTTTTTATTTATTTATATGTGTATATTACCTTGATTTGAGCAGGTAGGTAAAAGAATTTGCAGATGGAATAAAATGATTTATGCTTGAAATAAGAAGAAAAAAGTCAAAGTATGTAATTATCTAGTTTTAATGGTCAAAATTAACATTCCTTTGACAAAATGTCTGCTCAAATTTAATTTTAACACATTTCTAGATCAGTTTTTACAGTGTAATACTAAATCAGCTTTTTATGATAATATGCGCTGATAGAACTGATTCATCCCTTAATATTTCACCTTTAACATTAACTTAAACATTTATTTAGAAATGACAGTGAGCTCTGAGCTCCAGCTGAATCACAGTTTCCATCCATTAGATCAGGGGTCTGCAACCTCAGCTTTGTGGCTCACTTTTAATATATTAAAAAAATTGCCTTTACTCTAATTTTTTTCTTCTTTTTTTTACACTTTGTGTTATTCTTTTGTGTGCATTCCCCCCAAAGCCAGTTATTACACATCCAGTGCACACCTAGGACGCTTTGGCCAGCACTTGTTTCTGGTACAAGTGCCATTGACAGTTATTTAACACAATAAAATGTAATAATTTCATATAAAACTCAAAATATAACATCAATCTGGCACTTGATATATAAATTCAGGCATAAATGAGTTAATCTAAAAAAGGTTTTGAGATAAACTTGATTAGAGATTCATTTAAAGATTAACTTAAAGATTTTTTTATATTTAATTATTTTCATGTTTCAATGTCATGAAATGGAAACTGTCATGAAAAGGAGGAAACTAAGTGGCGTCCTAATGGCAGTAGAGGCGTGAGAATAGGTAGGAATCTCTATAATGTTCAGGAATTTAGTTTAGAGGAACTTTAAATCATAATGTTTTTTATTATTTAAAAAAATTCCCTGATGGGAATGAAGACAATCGACGTTTAAGGGTTTCATCATTATCATTAATGATGTGTGAGTTTATTACGCCTGCCTGTTGCGTGTCAGAACTGATGTTTTCCACAACAGTTTATCTAATTAACCCTTTATAGGACCCACAGCGAAATACTTTTAAAATCCAAATTTCAAGCCAATAGTGTTATTGGAATCCAGGACAAGACCTTATTACCTTATTCAAAAAATATGGATATTTTGATGGTGAAAATGCAAAAAAAGTCAACGTAATAACAAGAAACGCCAACTTGCCCGAATATTTTAAGAAAAATAACAAAAATGCTTCTGTAAGAAATTCATGAGAGTGAAAGAAACACATTTTTGGTCCAACACAACCTTAGAGGCATTAATGCTGATACTGGCACTTAGATTTTTTAGTTTATAAACCTAAATATAATTGTTAACTAGGCTTATTAACTTTTTAACTTTTCAATTAGCTTTATACCTTTTTTTCTTGACTCAATAACATTTTTTAGTAGTTAATATATCATTCAAGGGTTCATCTAATTAGTCAAATGCCAAAATAAGATGTGCAGCCATGTAGCAGCATCTTTGCTGAATGACTGGATATAGATCTTGTGCTTCTAGACCTCACTGAGGGATGAGCGGGACTCTATTTGTAGGACGTATGCAAGGGATCAAAAACACCAACTTGCCCTATAAAGGGTTTAGACGGTTCCTGAGTGCGGTTATATACAGTTATAATCTTCATTCTGCACTTGGCAAATATTTGGGAATGGAATGAGAGCGGCGTCCTTCAGCTGAGAACAAAGTGTAATAATTTGATATTGCTGGAGCCATGGATGTCCAATCATCTGCTAATGTGTATGATGTCATAAAGTGTCAGACTGGAGATGTATAAAATGCCTTTTTAACGGTTAATCACTTCCTGAGAGGTGAGCAGCTGCCTTCTGTAACTCTAAGCAACTTCTCTGATCTGAGAAAGATTGCATTTTCTATCAGAATCTGTTGTCATGTCTCCTGGTTATTTAATACATATATAAGTTATTAAGTGTTACTTAAAGAGTTTGTCCTGATTGATCTCTTTTCAGGGAAAAGAACCAGAGAGAGAAAGATTCAAGGTGCAAACACGGAGCTTTAACAGCTACCTACAGAAGTAGAAAAAAGGAGAAGCTTTAATAGAAAACTGTCTTAGATTAATTTACCTTGGAGACTAAAACAGCATTTTTATTTATTTCTTTAAGAACTAACAGAAGTTTTAGCTGCACTTCAACTGCCCTCAAAATATAAAGGGAGTTTAAAGTGATTTAGGCCCAGGGGCCGTTTGTGGCTCTCCTACTGATTTTGTGCAGCTCCTAAAAATCCTGAAACGGGGTAAAATCTGACCTGCAAGTACAAGCAGGGACTTTTATTTTTATAAAAATAAAATCTTGGAAAAAATGTTCTAATGGTTTCAGTATACATCTTAAATGTACTTAAATGTTCAAAAACTTTGTTGTAATTTTTTTTTTTTTTTCACTGCTTTTAAGTAATCTGTGTCTGTCTTATTAAAACATTTTTTATTAATAAAATGTAGATATTACCTTTTTATATTTAGGATCGACAAATATTTACAGATCATTATGAAATAAACCAAAGAAATTAAAGAACTTTTCCTTTTTAAAATTTAACTTAAAGAAATCTTTTTTTTATTTGGCCCTAAATTGTTCCCAGCCTCTGATTTGAACACCTCTGCTTGTTCTAAACCAATACCTGTTTCAGAGTGAAAAAAAGTTTTTAAATTGGTGTAATGCAACCAGTAGGTGGCGTATTTGGTTACATTATGTCTGGCTTCAATATAACCCATAAAAAATGAATAAAATGTAAAAGCAGCTTTTATTGCTTATATAGTTGATCTGACATTCCTGAAAAGAAACAAAAATGTCATGAGGAAATAAGAAAACCCAAAGGAGGGATGCAGATTTAGCTGTTTTAGATAAAATTCCAACTATTTCCATACTCATATGATGTCAAAATTTCAAGATAATCATAAAGTTTTTATTTTATTTTATGAGCTAGACTAATGGTTTCCAAAATGGGGGCCAGGAACCCCTCGTAGATCATGGGACACCAAGTCTGGGGCCCAGAGATCCATGTGGTATACGAAGGCCAAAATATATTTCATTTAGTTTCAATTCAGTTTATTTCTATAGCGGCAATTAACATGTCATCTCAAGGCACTTTACAGTTCAACCAGATCATCCAGTCAAACTGATTCAAAGTTTTCTATCTAAGGAAAAC